GGATCCGCCCAGCTGCGTGAGTGACAGCTGGCTCTGCCTATCTAGAGGCAGAGCCAGCTGTACCCGCCCCCTCCCCCGTCCGTTCCGCCAGTCAGCGCTGGCAGATCGGAGCGGGGAATCCAGCCCCTCCCCTGTCACAGCAGAGAGCCGTGACAGGATCGAGAGGTGAGTGAACGCTGGTATGTGTTCGCTCACCTCCCGATCTACTGAGCCGACCTGTGACAGTCTCATTGTCACAGGTCGGCTAGAACTATGAGGTGAGTGAAAAGCACTCACCTCATAGTTCTCCTTTAACCTTAACCTACCAGTGTGTTTTAGTGCATCAAATGAAACCTGAGCAGAAACAGGGAGACAATGCAAACTCTATGCCAGGGGTAGGGAACCTCCACGCTCTAGCTCTGGTGGAACTACAAATCCCATGAGGCATTTCAAGGCTCTGACAGCCACAGGCATGACTGCCAAAGGCGTGATGGGGTTTGTCTCTTCACCAAGGTTGCCTACCTCTGCTCTATGCAGTTGATGTCCTCGTTGAATGCAGGACTACAATGCCCTAAAGTAGGGGTAGCCAATCTATAGCCCTCCAGATGTTGTGAAACTACAAATTCTATAGGGCATTGCAAGGCTCTGACAGCCACAGGCAGGACTGTCCCTATAATGAGCCTCAGGGGGTGGCCTCTCATTGGGTCTTGTGGGGGGCCAGAGGGGGTCTTGTGGGTCTTTCAGGCCAGAGGGTCCCAGGTAAGCTAGGATAGCAACCTGTGACGGTGTCCTGCCTTCCTTCTGGCAACCAGTAATGTCACTGAGCTGGGCGGGATGACGGACAGAGTTACTGTGTACCGCTCCCACCCCCGGTAATGTGCACTGCCCCCCCACAGGCAACGTTCCCCGCCAGCACCCCCCAGTAATGTGCGCTGCCATAGCCCCCCTACCCTGTAAAGTGCACCGCCACACCCCTCCACCCTCCTGTAACATGCACTGCCACCAGCTCCAATGGCATCAACCCCCCGATAACGTGTACTGCCAGCATCCTCCACCTGGCCTCAGATGGCGTAAAATGTGTAGGGACCCCATGGCCAGAAGCATGACTTCCAAAAACAAGGGCATGGCGGGATTTGTAGTTTCACCACAGCAGAAGGGCTGAAGTTTAGCTACCACTGCTCTAAAGCAAGGGTGCTGATCCTACCACAGTGTCCAGTCTATTTCAGAATATTTTATTGAAATCCTCGGCTATATACTAGAACACTGCATGGATCTATATAATATACTACAGGGGTAGGCAACCTTGGCACTCCAGCTGTGGTGAATCTACAAATCCCATCATAACTCCACCTTTTAGAGTCCTGCAATGCCTCATGGGACTTGTATTTCCCCAACAGATGGGGTGCAGAGGTTGCCTGCCCTTGCCATACAGTTTCCACAAGACCTGATTTTAAGATTTGGGTAGATGTTGGCGAGTTAGATTAGCAGAAAGCTTCTTCTATCTCTCGGGGACTCTACTGTAGAGCTAATCGTGTTTGATTTCCAGGTCTGCACACCCGCTGTGCCCATTATGAGGGGCTCCCCTCCAGGGCAGCCATCAGAAATTTTGGGGCCCCTTACACGGCTTTAGGCCAGGCCCTCACGCACTGCGCCCTCCTTCCCCCCTACACCTACGCCCCCCTCGCACCACCGCCACACTGAGCCAGTCAATCGAGTAGCGGCGCCGATGGGGCCCCAGCCTGCAACGATGCAGCTGGATTGGCAATGCTGGAGCCCAGCGCTGGTAGGGCCAGGCCTCCTCCTCGCCTGTCACCAGCGGCCGATACTCATGTAAGGGTCCCAGATGGGCCCCCAGGCTGCCCGGGCCCCTTACATGAGTATCTGCCGTACCCCCCTGATGGCAGCCCTGCTCCCCTCTGCTGGATGGGGTATTAAAGGGTATCTATGGCCAAAAACTAACAATAAATCTGAATTTCTATATTGGATTTCCATAAGTTCTATCCCGCTCCTAATAACCAGATCCATCTAGAAGTTTGTACACTTACTTACAGAAGATGCCCGTAGGATGTACTTCCTCAATGCAGTGACACCATTTCACCCTGTGAATATGTACTTCCTGGTGTCACCACTCTCATATAGCCTGTGGTCTGAACTCAACTCAATGTAACATCATCATTGCTGGCTGGAAGCAATGCATGATGGGAGATGTAGTCTTGAGAATTGGAGATTGCACCACAAGCAGCAGGGAAAGAGACGCAAAGCACGCTGGGGATCCAGGAAGTTGGTGAAAGTGATGGGTAGACGGAAGGCGGCACTCACTACATAAAAGTAAGCTTTGATTGCATTATCAGAAACATCTCTAGTGTGTATTCCTATTACAATGCTGATGTCATAACAGGAGAGGACATGCTGGGACTTTACATCTCCTTTCATTTTTTTTATATCATGACAAGGGATGCAGCGATACCGGTATTTCGGTATCGGGTACGAGTACCGATATTTTTTTCCGATACTGAATACCGAGTACCGGAAGTTCCATTCAGGAAGCCAGGCGTCCTGTAAAGACTCGCCACCCGGCTTCCCAATTAGCAAGGAAGCCGTCTCCATGCTTCTCGTCACTTGTGATGAGAGAGCAAGAGCATGGCGCCGGCTTCCTGGCCAATCAGGAACCGGGCAGCGTGTAATGACGTGCTGTCCGGCATCCTGATACCGGAAGTATCAGGCTAGGCATCGAAGCATTTGGGCGAGTACCTGTACTCGCCCAAATACTTGGCATCGGCACCGATACCGATTGGTGCATCCCTAATTATGAGCAATGTAACAGGAGGAGCTGGGACTCACAGACGAAGGCGGGGACACCCGAAACTCCCAGGAGGACAGGAACAGAGTTAAGAACTATGGCACGGGGAACTCCCTATTGGAATCCCAAGCCAGATATTAAAGCGTATCTAAACCCAAAAGCAAAACATTTAATAATATAAAATAATGTACACTATGGATACAGTGCAGAAATTAGTGTAGAACCGAAAGGACAGGAAGTGTGTTGTTTGCAGGATTACTCAAAAAAAGGGGGGGGGGGGAGAAAACGAATGCAGCCACCACATCAAAGGACTTGTCATTTGAAATGTATTATTTTTCTGTTTTTGAGTTTTGAGCTTTTTTAAGCTTTAAGTCAGAGGCTGAGGCTGCCCACCAGGCTTCACTGATGCCTAATTGATCACATTTAGGTGGAGTGACCCTTTAATTTGAACACTAACAGACTTGTCAGCTACACAACATTTCGCCTAATGATTCATTGTAGGTCCAAGTGCTCTTTGCTCTAAATGGATGAATATAGTACATTCTTCTTGTTATGGATTGGTGCTCATCAATGCAGGATATGCCCGACCTTCATACATACTCAGTGCACACGCCTTGTTCAACTCTTAAATTGTAAAATTGCAAAATTATGTTCAACCTGCATAGATACTTCCACATAGACACACACACACACACTCTTACATAATTGCATTAATGTTTTAGAAACAATGTAACAAGGTTCTGGCATTGGGCAATCGTTGAATGTGGACATGGACTGATTTATCACTAGACTGTGCAGATTAAGGAACTCCCCCCTTTCCCCATTTGTGTCTCCTTCCCTCCCTCTCTCTCACTGTCTATCTAGTCTCGCTCTCATCTGCACGTTTTTCTTTTCTTGCCTCTCTCTTTCTCTATCCCTCATCTCTCTACTTCTCTATTCCCTCCTATTTATCTCCCTGTCGGCTGTCTCTTCTTCTCTTCATTTCTTCCTCCCTGCATTATTTCTCATCTCTCTCTTTCTGATAAACTCCCAGAACATCTCCCTATATCTCCCTTCTCTTTTTTTTTTTATTAATCACCCCCATCTCTTTCTCTTTGGCTCTCTCTATCCCTCTTTCTCTTAATCTCTAATCCCTCTCTCTCTTTTGTCTTTTTTCTTGTTTCGCGCACTCTACCTGTCTCTCTTGCTCTTCTCTCTCTCTCTTTCTCTCTCTCTATCTCTCTCTCTATCTCTCTCTCTCAGCTCTCCGGTTCTTCTCTTTCCTGTCTCCCTTTCTCTATTGCACTCTCTCTCTGTCTCTTTTCTTTCTCTCTCATCTTCTGTCCCTCTCTTCTCTCTATCTTACTCTTGTCTTTCTCTTTCTCTCCCACCCCTCTCTCTCACTCACTCTCTCTCTTTCTCCTGTCTTTTTCCTCTCTCTCTATTTCTTGTCCCCCCCCCTTTCTTTATTTCCCTTGCTCTCTTCAGTTTTTCTCCCTCCCTATATCTCCCCCACTCTCTGGTTT